ATATATATATATATTTTTTTAAAAATATTTTTATATATATATATATATATATATATATATATATATATATATATATATATATATATATATATAGAGATATATACGTATATATTTATGTATATAGATATATATATTATTTCGTTCTACGTGTATTTTGATATATTAATTTCACAAAACAGTTAGAACGAAATAACACACATCTATATATTTTTTAATTATTTATTTTTAATTATTTTTTTAATTTTATTTAACGTATACATTTTTATTTTTTTATATTATATATAAATATATATAACAATTATATATATATTTAATCAGTATCAGTCTACGTGTAATTTGATATTAATATATATATATATATATATATATATATATATATATATATATATATATATATATATATATAATATATATATATATATATATATATATATATATATATATATATATATATATATATATATATATATATATATATATATATATATATATATATATATATATATACACATATGATCTAAGTATATATTATTTATTTTTTACACTGATTAACTTTTTTTAATTTTATTTTCAGCCAGTAGGGGGACCACCTGTCATTACAGGCAGACCCCCTGCCGGCAATACAGAAGCCAGCTATCCCCGGCCATGTGATTGTGGGGTCCTCACTAGGACCCCACTCTCACATGGCCGGGGGGCTTCGACGAGGACGGACGTGCCGCGGGGGGCTCCCTGGGAGTCCCCCCAACCGCGATCGCCGGCGTGGGACCGCCGGCGACCGGGTAAGTTAACAAAAACCGGAGGGCGTACAATTACGCCCAGCGGCGTTTAGAGCCGCCTATTAGAGGGCGTAATTGTACGTCCTCCGGTTTTAAGGGGTTAAAGCCCTTTTTGTCCTTTAAAACACAATATGTAACATGTGTTGGTGCAATCAATAAGAAAAATGCAAATGGAGGTTGAACACAAACAGCAAAAAATGCTTGTGTCCTTAAAGGACCACTCTAGGCACCCAGTCTCATTGACAGCCGCTAGAGGCGATTGCGTGATTCTCACTGTGAAAAATCAGAGTGAGAGCACGCAAGCGTCCATAGGAAAGCATTGTAAATTCTTTCCTATGAGACCGGCTGAATGCGTGCGCAGCTCTTGCCGCGCGTGCAGCCGAATGGGAGGAGAAGAGGAGGATCGGAGGAGGAGAGCTCCCCGCCCAGCGCTGGAAAAAGGTAAGTTTTAACCCCTTTCCTCTCCCCAGAGCCAGACGGGAGGGGGACCCTGAGGGTGGGGGCACCCTCAGGGCACTATAGTGGTCCTTTAAGGGTTAGTCTAGTTTTTGAAGCTGCGTCCTTAAAGGGCCACTCTAGGCACCCAGACCACTTCAGCTTAATGAAGTGGTCTGGGTGCCAGGTCCCTCTAGGATTAACCCTTTCTTCTATAAACATAGCAGTTTCAGAGAAACTTAAAGGACCACTCTAGGCACCCAGTCTCATTGACAGCCGCTAGAGGCGCTTGCGTGATTCTCACTGTGAAAATCACCGTGAGAACACGCAAGCGTCCATAGGAAAGCATTATGAATGCTTTCCTATGAGACCGGCTGAATGCGCGCAGCTCTTGCCGCGCGTGCGCATTCAGCCGAAGGGGCTGGAGAGGAGAGCTCCCCACCAGGCGCTGGAAAAAAGGTAGGTTTTAACCCCTTCCTCTCCCCAGAGCCGGGCGGGAGGGGGATGCTGAGGGTGGGGGCACCCTCAGGACACTATAGTGCCAGGAAAACGAGTATGTTTTCATGGCACTATAGTGGTCCTTTAAGGGGTTAAAGACAACAACCTGGAAAGCTGTATTGTATTTATCTACTACAAATGCTTCATAACCAACAAGGGACAGGGATAAGCTGCACAAAATTAAGTTTTGTATATTATTATTATTTTTTTAAGGGGGGGGGGGTGTACCATTGTAACCCAAATCATACTCTGTGTGGCTCTTATTCAGTGCTCAGCTTTGCGTTCTGTGTATTGTTGCTTTTCAGTAGGCTGACCAACAGTGAGGATTTTGATGGCCAGCCAAGCGTATGGTTCTTGGCATTATAAATGCAGAGGGGACAGTTGGGAGAAAAAAAAAAAAAGGTAACCATTAAGCCAGGAAGTAGTGACCTAATTAAAGGAAGTGACGCAACAACCCGGATGTAGCCTGGGAAAATGGCCGTGCAGGCTGTGCATCTCCAGGGGGATGCCTTCCTTGTCTGTGTGACCCACTCTCTGAGTACGGAGAGGGAGGAGGTCATGGGTTTGTGTATCGGGGAAGTGGACACACAGAAGGTTGTCCATATTTACTCTGTGATCATCCTGCGCCGCTCAGACAAGCGGAAGGACCGAGTGGAGATTTCGCCTGAGCAGCTGTCTGCCGCCACCATAGAGGCAGACCGGCTGGCGGAGATTACCGGGCGCCCTATGCGAGTGGTTGGCTGGTACCATTCCCACCCACATATTACTGTATGGCCGTCACACGTGGATGTGCGCACTCAGGCTATGTATCAAATGATGGACAGTGGGTTCGTGGGGTTGATCTTTTCCTGCTTCATCGAGGACAAGAATACCAAAACCGGCCGGATCCTCTACACCTGCTTCCAGTCACTGCAGGCACAGAAGGGCTCGGAGTATGAGAGGATCGAGGTGCCGCTGCACGTTGTCCCTCATGACACCATTAGGAAGGTTTGTTTGGAATCCGCTGTGGAACTTCCAAAAATCCTATGTCAGGAAGAGCAAGATGCTTACCGCAGGATACACAGCCTGGGTCACCTGGATTCCGTCACCAAGATTCACAATGGTTCAGTTTTCACCAAAAATCTATGTGGACAGATGTCAGCAATCAGTGGTCCCCTTTTGCAGTGGCTGGAGGATCGCCTGCAGCAGAACCGACAGCGTGTTCAGGAACTGGAGACTGAAAAAAAGGAGCTGATGCAGGAGTTGGAAAGCCTTGCCTGAACACCCGGAGAGCGTGTGAGGTCGCACGGGGAAGATGAAGAGCACTGGTAGTGCAGGGGTAGGTAAACTTAGGCACTGCAGTTGTGAACTACACCTCCCTTAATGCTCTTACAGCCATAATAATGCTGGCAAAGCATCAAGGAACATGTAGTCCACAACATCTGGAGTGCCGAAAGTTGCCTACCCCTGGAGTAGTGTATAGTAATATGATAATTTATCATGAACTGACTACTCTTTTTATTGGCCTGTTTCATTTTCATGGATTACAACTAGTAGTAATGATGAATTTGCAAAAACTGATTTCTAAAATATATACTTGCTGTAGTTATGAAATTGAAGCATTACAAAATAAATAACTCCATGTTAAATAGAATATTCGTTTGGCCCCATGTTACTTTGTCTTCTTTTCAATTATATATGCACAAAGAAATTGAGGCACCAGGGGACAGAATTTGATCTATTTTTCAATGAGCGAAATACATTAATTCTAGTCACCTAATTTTATGAAATCTTTTTCTCTGGGCCATAAGATTAATTTAAACAGTGTTGAAACTGGATTCATAATTAAAGGGACTCCCCAGTTTTTCTGGCACTGCAGAACTCTGCAGTGCCCCTCTCCTAATGTGCATGCCCGGCCATGGCTGCGCACGTGCATTAGACCTCCCATGGGAAAGCATTCAATGCTTTCCTATGGGGATTTCGGCGACGCTGGAGGTCCTCACATGAGGACATCCAGAGTTGTTTAAAACACTTTTCGTGTTCACATGGAAGTCCCTCTAGTGGCTGTCTAATAGACAGCTTCTAGAGGAGGACTTAACCCTGCAAGGTAATTATTGCAGTTTATGGAAACTGCAATAATTACACTTGCAGGGTTAAAGGTTGTGGGAGTTGGCACCCAGACCACTCCAATGGGCAGAAGTGGTCTGGGTGCCTGGAGTGTCCCTTAAGGACACGTGACATGTCACGATTCCCTTTTATAATGCAAATGAAACAAGGCGGGCACACTCGACTAAACAACAAAATAACCCCAGGAAAAGGCTAATATAATGAATACTGGGTGCTCACCCACATAAGGCTCTATCCCCTAAAGAACCCAAAATACATAAGTGTGAATAGAGTAAGGAGCACATTATTCCCTTTTATTCCAGAAGTTTGGTCCTTAAGGGGTTAAAGGGTTACTTCAACCATAAAAACCACTACAGCCAGCTGTATTGGTTTTGATCTAATGAGTACTTTGCCCTGTTTTCCAGCAGTCGGGCAAACCGTTTTGCAACCATTTACCTTCTTACCTGGAACCCCAGGTGTAAAGAGTTCTCTGTGTGGTGACAAACATCCAGGTGCTGCAGGAGCAGGATGTCAATCCCACTGACCAGTCAGCTGATCACTCTCAGCAAATGTTTGCAAAAAAATATGAAATTAGCCACGCTGGAACTCTTTTTCTGGGCTGGCTAATGATGCCCCAATGACGCTGCTAGAGGTGTATTTGCACCAGCAAAGATTTTAAATTATGTATGTACAACATTTCATTGTGGATTACTGCACTCCAAATCAGTGAACTGGTCATGGTGCTTGGAATAACTCCTTTACAGTCATGTAAAAGCCTATCCTTGACAACAGCATGAAAGCCTTTTAGACATGCTGAGTTGCTGACCGAAATAAGCCAAGCATATAGTGGGTTTAAAAAAATATATATATAAATAGTGTACTGGAAATATTTTAAAACAAAAATGTTTTATTTTTCCATAATTCTAGAGCTCTTTGAAGCAGATGTATATTTAAAAAATTTTGGTGAAATAAAGGACTTCCACAATTCAAAACACTAAAATTTGTGACTCTTCTCTATTTAACTCTTGCTACTGGAGCCCCTTAAGGACTAACCCAATTGTAAACACCTGTGCCAAATAGTTTCTAAATTTTGTCCTGAATTTGGAAAGTTATAGGGCTACCAGTACAAGTAGCACTTTGCTATTTCTAAAACATTAACGCAAGTTACAGTGTAATACTGATATGTCAGGAATCCCTGAATAACCCTTCACATGTTTATAAATATATATATATATATAAAAAACACAACCTAAGGTATTAAACTTGGGGTATATTTAATCTTTTCATGCAACCATTTTACCACCAATCTATGCCAAATTAGAAGAAATTGATTTTTTTGACACACGTAGCAATTTAAGAATATATGTGTAACGGATCGCCTGGCACCCCGACTGGGTACCTCCGTTGAAGGATGCTCCTAGCGCTTCCTGAGGACTCCAAGCACTCTGGCAGACACCACAATCACTGAACCGGAGAAACAAATAAATTCTCCCAAGCATATGGATGCTGTAGACAGTTGAATAGGAACCATACGAATAGATTTACCCTCCTAGCAGTCAAACTGGAACAGCATACAATAAATCCTCCCCCAATAATGAGACGACACTTCACGTTGAGGGTTAAGCAGGAACTCCCTGTACTGTCACATACAGTCTCTTTTATTCCCAATCCACAAACATAGTACAGCCCACAGGGCGTTACAAAACAACCAATCAATCCGTACAATACACCCAGACACTCCCACACAAAATCCTCCCCTCTGCATGTGATATGATTACTGAACACAATGGGTAATCTCATTATCACCGGCAGAGGAATTACAGTTTTTACACAATATTTATAACTTCTAAAATATACATCGAATAGATTGAGCCAAGTTAGATACACAAAGAAAGTGGGGGGTAACCCCAAATAAAGAATAAAGAGAACAAGATGAAGTGTATCTAATTCATGATGCAAAATAAAAGCATCACCGAAATTCAAGATAGCCAACAATTAGCCTACTATGAAGGCCAGATAAAGCCACTAAAAACAAAAATAATAAAAGTTTATTGATTGAAACAAATAAATAACCCAAATACGTGCTACCATATAAACACCAAAAATCTAAAATAATTGCTAGACAGATCTATCAGGAAAAATGTAGATCGTCTAGAACGAATAAAATAAAATAATCGCAGATCAAAATATGACAACAATTACTGTCAGTTATGGCTGGTGATATGCCAGACTAGAGAGGCAAAATGCCAATCCGATGAATCGGTAAGTATATTAGAACTGGCACTTTAAACCTCCATAATAGAATGATGGACCATATATATGTCTTGTCCAAAGTATAAATCAATAAGGAGGATAGTTAGTTGCTCATGGTGATAAAAAATATATACTGAGCCAAAACATCTGTCTAATGATAAGAAAATCGATTATAAAGTCTGTCACTTTAAAAATCAAAGCCGTGATCATGGACTGTATGGGTCTTCTGAATAACTAAAAATTATTGGTGGATATCAAATCTCCATAGATCACAGCAAACTGGGGAAAAAGATTGGATCAGTATGAAACTGATAAACTAGCAGGTCTTAGAGTAGAAAAACGATAATCTACACGGAGAAATTCTGCTAGTAGGCTAAATAGACAGAGTGTATATATAGATAAACCACAGCATGTATACACTGAGCCGACAGTAAAGCAGTCATAAAGATGCCTGGGAGGAACAGGATAGGGGAGAGATACACATATATAAATAGGGTTATAATAGAAAGAGTTACAAAATATCTGTTTGATAGCACACAATGTGTATAGAAAGTTGTTAACAATATGAGAGAGAAAAACGTCTGAATGATACCCTCTATGAATATGTGACCCGTGCCTTCGAGGGCACCTAGCTCCAACCCCTCAGAGAACCAATAAATAAATAAATCATGAAGGTGAGATCTGCAAAAATTAAGTATAATAAATGAAAATATAAGAAATGAGCAGCGCGGTCGCCAGTCTGTGTGCTGCACTAAAGATCAAACACGTGCAGCATACCACAATCCTCTGACGCGCGCGTTTCGCTACACCTAGCTCGTCAGAGAGGAAACGAGAGGTGTGTTAGCACCGGGTTTAAAAATCCAGAGAAATCACCTGATTGGTCCGGACGGGCAATTCCTAATTGGTTAGAGAAGATGACGTAACGGAGGACATTATCGGGGGTGAAATAGTCTTAGCTACTCCAATAATTAACCCATTAAGGGTCAGGTTAAAGTGTACAAACCAAGGCAATATAAAATGCCTGTTAGATCACTGCATAAAATACATATTCATGGTGAAAACACGTTTGTAGATGCCATATGACCTTAGGAAATATTTAAAGTAATCCTAAAGGATCAAAGGGGATCGGATTGAGAATAGAGCGCCCAAAAATTAAATCTGATGATTATCAAATATATTATACTAACAAATTATGATAAAAAACAAAAATAATAATAATAAACACCATACCAAGTAATGGTCAAATGATGTAAGTACAATTATTTTGTCTGATGCCATAAGGTATAGTACATAATAGGGGATGTTCAATTAAATATGAAATATGGTGGCTCCTATTGATTATATATATATCTAAGAAAGAAAGGGAGAACATGTTCAAAAGTTCCTACAATAAATCTTCAAATAGAGACTTGACTAAATAGATGAATCACCTATATAATAGACATGGAATAAATGATGATTGGAAATTGTATATCTAGGTAGAACATAATGGATAATTAGTTTACATAACTGTCACCAGGAACCCATTCCAAGAGTCCCATAAGGCATAGGTCACTCATAATGGCTATAGAAATTATCTTGATGAATAAACAAGATGTTCCAATTAATATTAAATTCTTAATGTATGAAGGGGGTAAAATTGAATTCCTCATTGAGACCATCTGGTGACAATGTCTCCCTTTCTTTCTTAGATATATATATAATCAATAGGAGCCACCATATTTCATATTTAATTGAACATCCCCTATTATGTACTATACCTTATGGCATCAGACAAAATAATTGTACTTACATCATTTGACCATTACTTGGTATGGTGTTTATTATTATTATTTTTGTTTTTTATCATAATTTGTTAGTATAATATATTTGATAATCATCAGATTTAATTTTTGGGCGCTCTATTCTCAATCCGATCCCCTTTGATCCTTTAGGATTACTTTAAATATTTCCTAAGGTCATATGGCATCTACAAACGTGTTTTCACCATGAATATGTATTTTATGCAGTGATCTAACAGGCATTTTATATTGCCTTGGTTTGTACACTTTAACCTGACCCTTAATGGGTTAATTATTGGAGTAGCTAAGACTATTTCACCCCCGATAATGTCCTCCGTTACGTCATCTTCTCTAACCAATTAGGAATTGCCCGTCCGGACCAATCAGGTGATTTCTCTGGATTTTTAAACCCGGTGCTAACACACCTCTCGTTTCCTCTCTGACGAGCTAGGTGTAGCGAAACGCGCGCGTCAGAGGATTGTGGTATGCTGCACGTGTTGGATCTTTAGTGCAGCACACAGACTGGCGACCGCGCTGCTCATTTCTTATATTTTCATTTATTATACTTAATTTTTGCAGATCTCACCTTCATGATTTATTTATTTATTGGTTCTCTGGGGGGTTGGAGCTAGGTGCCCTCGAAGGCACGGGTCACATATTCATAGAGGGTATCATTCAGACGTTTTTCTCTCTCATATTGTTAACAACTTTCTATACACATTGTGTGCTATCAAACAGATATTTTGTAACTCTTTCTATTATAACCCTATTTATATATGTGTATCTCTCCCCTATCCTGTTCCTCCCAGGCATCTTTATGACTGCTTTACTGTCGGCTCAGTGTATACATGCTGTGGTTTATCTATATATACACTCTGTCTATTTAGCCTACTAGCAGAATTTCTCCGTGTAGATTATCGTTTTTCTACTCTAAGACCTGCTAGTTTATCAGTTTCATACTGATCCAATCTTTTTCCCCAGTTTGCTGTGATCTATGGAGATTTGATATCCACCAATAATTTTTAGTTATTCAGAAGACCCATACAGTCCATGATCACGGCTTTGATTTTTAAAGTGACAGACTTTATAATCGATTTTCTTATCATTAGACAGATGTTTTGGCTCAGTATATATTTTTTATCACCATGAGCAACTAACTATCCTCCTTATTGATTTATACTTTGGACAAGACATATATATGGTCCATCATTCTATTATGGAGGTTTAAAGTGCCAGTTCTAATATACTTACCGATTCATCGGATTGGCATTTTGCCTCTCTAGTCTGGCATATCACCAGCCATAACTGACAGTAATTGTTGTCATATTTTGATCTGCGATTATATATAATTTTAATTTTATTTTATTCGTTCTAGACGATCTACATTTTTCCTGATAGATCTGTCTAGCAATTATTTTAGATTTTTGGTGTTTATATGGTAGCACGTATTTGGGTCATTTATTTGTTTCAATCAATAAACTTTTATTATTTTTGTTTTTAGTGGCTTTATCTGGCCTTCATAGTAGGCTAATTGTTGGCTATCTTGAATTTCGGTGATGCTTTTATTTTGCATCATGAATTAGATACACTTCATCTTGTTCTCTTTATTCTAAAATATACATGTCACAAACATAAAACATACATTTTCATAATCAATCCATTCAGGGGAACAACATATTAAAAAAATGGTACGAATCAGACCAGGGGTTCAAAAGTTAAGGGAAAGTCCTTTGTGACTAAATGAAGCATGGCTTTCCGGCCCAAACCAGTTTCAGAGTCTTCTATCCTGGAGATTGAATTGAGAAGTAATTCAATTATCTCCCAGGACAGACACAAGACTCCATTAAGCACATGGTTGCAAAAAGACACAAAACACTTAAAAATACATAAAGTCACCTTTTACACATAATACACAGACATTTCACATATCCCCAGATAGCTGGGATCTGAGTGCACAAA